TTAAGTCTGGTGAAATTTGCATATTCTTCCAATCTTCTAGTAGATTTTGTTGTTTCTTTTTTATAAAAACTGTGAAAATATAATCCCGAATTTGATTATTTCTGGGTGTTAATCTTATAATCGGGTTCGTTGACTTGGTTAGTTGATTTATTGCTACAACATCTTCCTGTGACACATTTTGTAGATTTAATAATGAAGTAATAAAATTATAAATTTCTAATCTGGAAATATTTTTCAAACTGGAATAGTTATACAATATTATGTTGTTATAATGGAGTTCATTAACTAAGACTTCCTTTTTGTATTGCATTAGTTCTTTTTCCGTTTTTACATTGTCAATTTGTTTTAAATTATTGATTTGTTTTTCCATTTTTTTGTATTGTTCTTTGGTTTCACGAATACTTTCATAAATAAAATCAAGATCTTTTTTATAAAAGTAATTTGGTTAAAAAGTTTATCATTGGAGGTGTTTATCAGACCAGAAATTCTATTCCATAAAACTGTTGTTAGGATGTCTAGTGAGTTGCCTGAGTTATTCAATGAGATAGGACCGAGCGCATTTAACTCATCTGAAGATTTTTGAAAGCTTTGTGATATTATATCCAAATAAGGATCCATAATTGCTGAGAAAACTTCTTGTGGGTCTTTATTCGTTTGTAAGTTATAGTCTGTTATAAGCTTAGAGTTTGTCGGAATTAGTTGGTCCTTTATACTTCCTAGTTTCGTTCGGTTCAATAATGATCTTCCACGCTTCACCGGTGAACGTTGCATTTTAGTCACTATTTAATATTCCTTCAGAGGATATTAAGTTGAATTTACTTCAAACCTTTTTAACAATATAATTTATCCAAAAATGGCCAATTCACAAGCTTCATACAAAATATCGAAGTGCGTAAGAGAAGTCACCAACAACCTCGGCGTTCAAGAAAGCCCCCAAAAATTGTTATTATAAAATTTATATAAAATTTTTTTAATTTATACTTTTATATATAATTAATTTTTAAAATATTTTCTAAAATTAATATTTACTTTTTAAAACTAGTAAAAATTCATCTTAGTATACTAAATATACACTAAGATTTATTTTTTTCTTCATAACATTAATAACAATACTTATATTAATTAAAAATAATTGTAATTTAATTAGAAATCAATTAAAATTTAATTCAAGTACCAATTTCTTATTGATTAATTAAATATAAAAATCATTATTGCTTTTGATCCTCATCCTCCTCATCTTCAATAGAAAGGATGCTACGCTCTAAGTTTTCATGTTATATATGTATAATTTTTTAAATTATTATATATTTATTTATGATAATTTAACGTATATTTTATTATGTTTTACGTTAAATTTAAATTTTGAAAAAATATATATTGTCCTTACACCCTTAAGACATTTTAACAGGAAGTTTTAAGTAGCTTATAGCTTAAAGATAGTGTAACTTAAACAAATATTTTTTTTGTACTTTTAAGTTTATTTTTAATAAAATGTATAAACTTTTTTCCTTTATAAAAATTTATATTTTGTTATTTTATTATTCTTAGATGCAGAAAAACAAAATGTGTGGATGGAAGCATAGGAACAACTCATGAATCTATAGTGTAAAGTTTCAAATTTCATTTAATTTGTTGTTTGTTGTATTTTTTCTTGAATTTTTAAGATAATTTTACTCTTAAAAAGCATTAATTCTCAATGGAAATCATAATACTGAATATAATTTAGTAGAAAAATCATTAAAATATTCGAAACTTTCTCTTTGAGAAATTCAAGAATAAATTTAGAATGATGCAAATAAGTTTTAAAGGAATTATATCAAGGATAATGTTATTACAGTTGAATAAATCTTAAATATTCGTGCAGAATATATTATTTTATACATTTGATATTACAAAGTCACTTATTTATCTTATTTATTAAATAATTCTATAAATTATTAATAAAATTTTAAAAATTTGGCAAAAATTAATATGATTTTCGTTTAAAATGTTGTGAAATTTATTAAGATGATCCATGAAATGCTTACTAGAATCGTGAGAAATGAATATATTTGACATCTTTTTGAAGGATATTATGAAGATTTTATGAAGAAATGTCTGAAAAATACCATAAAACATAAGAAATTTTCAAAACTGAATGAATTTTCATTAAGTAAATCAACCCAGAAAAACATATATACACATAAATATGTTGTGCGTCAACATCCTCAGAGCAGCATCTATGAGATTTACTTGACTTTCTAAAACTTTTATACAATTTAAGAATCTTTTCAGATAAATTGGAAATTTATTTACTAGAAAAAAAAGGAGTACACAAATCCGGACAGGAAATGTTATTTATAAATGATAACAAAGAGGAAAAAACAGGAAAAGATAATTCAGGAGGGAGAAAGAATAAATTGTTTACAAGATTCTATCAGATAAAAGGAATAAAGACGTCACAGTGCTTTATTACGTCAACGACAATGTCATATTTTATATGTCAAAACAGTTTCGAGAAAGGAGAGTTGCAATAAATTTAATCGAGTGTTGTTACATTTTTGCAATTATTGATCAAATCTTTTCATATCAACTAAAATGCCTTTTTTCCTTGTGGAAAATTTAATTTGACCCTTTTTCCCCTCCTCTTTCTTCATCTTTTCTTTCTCTTCATTTGCATATTTTTCTTTTTCAAGAAAGTTGTCAAAGTAATCGACTTTTAAAAAATTATTTATAAATAATTTATCTTTTTTTCCTTCTTACTCTTCTTCCTCCCTTCCATTTCTCATTAAAGAATCACGAGTTGAATTATAAGAATGAAGAAGTTGATGTTATTCTCAGTATTTTTACGACCATTGATTAATTTTTTAGTAAGAATATAGCAAAATAATCTTTGATTTTATATGAGAATCATCAGCAAGTATAACTCAACAACATGGTCATAATATTGGATGAAAGATGCTATTATAGTAATAATTTTTTTCATTTTAACCTCTTATTTAAAAAAATAAATCGAATATTATGCAAAATATCACTTAATACAGTAAATTATTTAATTATCTACCAAAAAATCCATTAATTTTAATATTTTAACTTAAACTTCATCCATTAAAACGCCTTCCAGATATATAAATTCTATAAGATATTAAATCTCTACATTAAAATAAATAACTATATTAATTTTATAAATTCAAAAGAAAAATTCTAACGTTTCTCGAATTTAAATTACATTAAAATAATTAAAAACTTCTAAATTCTAACCTGAATTTCCACTTTTTCAAATGGAAATTATATATATTTTTTTAAATTGCTAGAGATAAAAGCATGGAAGCATTTTTAACTTATAAATTAAACATATAAAGAGAGTAAAACTCATAAAAAGTATTTATTCTCAATAAATTCTTTAATTTAAAAAAATATAAATATGTAAACTAAATCAGTAGTATAATAATTTACTAAGATAACATTATACAGCTATAAAATAACGTCGAATCTTTCTACTAATTTACTACGCTATCGTTTAATCTTTAGGTTATTTATATAATACTTGATGGTCGAACATAATAAAAAGTAATTTTCTACGTTTATCGGATATAGTTTAATGATATAAATTTATCTAAAGATAAAAGGCTCTTATAAATAAATTTGCTCAGCCGTAAATAACCATTTTTTCTACTCTTTTATCATGTTAAGAGTTCGCTCTTTCGCTAACACCATTTTTAATAGACCGCATTTAAGTGGATTTCACGATTACCTGATGTATAAGAACCATTAAATGATCTTGGGCATCTTTAATTATACACTATCCATTGTAATAAGTTCCTTAACAATTTGAAATTTTATCTTTCGAAATTCATTAAGTATGACAATTATTTAAAATTTTTCACTTTCAGATTTTAAATGATACTTTAATGTTAAACTCGACCTTTTTTTCCTTGCAATTTTTCACGTTTTCGAGTGTCGTCTCCTGTAAATCCTCTTTCTCTGCATAGCTTATGAACTATGTAGTGAAGCATCACACCGTTTGTGATGAATATTTTTTCTTTTTTTATTTCAAGTTAATTATAGTTTTATATCTAAATTTTCTAAAATAAATAAATAAATATGCTATAGTTAGCGTAATTGTTTTATTTAAATTAAGTACTTTTTAACATTTTTTAAATTAACGAGCGTTTAATCTAATTTGCCCCTGTAGATCAGTTTTTTTCAGTACAGTACACGGTACTACGCACAGAAAGTCGCCATTTTATGGCTGATTTTCTATACATTTTTATAAATTTTACAATTTTGAATTCGAAACACATAAAAATAAATAATATTAAATTAATAAACATGAGAATTTTACAAGTTTATCTCAATACAAACAGCTTCCTTATTGTAAGAACACTCGCTTTTACTTCTGTATAATAATAATAATAATAATAATAATGTATATTAAAATAAACATTCGTATAATATAATGTAATATAATAAATATTTATTTTTCATTTTAAAAGGAGAAATTATTGGTTAGAAATTTATAAAAATATTTTTCTTTCCTTCTTACATCCATTCTAGTGAATTCGTGGTATGTCTATTTAATATAAAAAAATGGAGAAATTTCTATAAATGTCAGATAAACTCATAAATCTTAAAGTACGTCGTGGTATGACAGATAGAAAACGCTCTCAGCAAAGTGTAACGATGTACAAACGTTTCTTTTACAGTTTCTGATGTTTTTCTTCACATCAAATTTCTAGATATTTAATTTTTTCTACATGTTTGTCAACTCGACAAAAGTCACTTTCATACAAAAATATATTCTACGTTAAACTACACAAAATATTCTATAAATTACTAGCAAAAATAATAATATTTATTTAATTTAATGTAAGATTTATCAAAGCATAAAATTAATATCGTATAATTTATTCATTTTAATAAATTAATTATAAAAATTGCTACAAAATAATTCAGTTTTTTTTTTAATTTATCGAAGCTTATGTAAATTTTTTATATGTAGAAATGTAAATTTTACTCACCATCCTTGCATGCTGTATGCAATTATTGTTGTAGAATTATACGACGATGCTAACTCTTTCATACAAATGATTTTAGTGTCAGCTTTATCACCAATTGTTCTATCTTTGTGTGATCTAATTATAACAAAGGACGTGTTTTGATGACTGAAAATGTAAGTTGTTCTACCATCCAAAGAATGCCACTTGTTAGGTCCTGTTAACCAACTTGGAAATGTGCAATCTGCTGTAGGTGACTTACCTGTAAAAAATCGAATTTTCAGATGAAAATTAGATCAGATTTAAAAATTTTTTCGGTCAAAATCACATAAGTTAATTAAAATTTAATATAAAATCTATTAAAGCAGCATGAAAACATTGTAAGAGAGATGAAATTCCATTCAATTAAGTAAGAGTAAAAAATCAAATTTGCTATAAAATAACACTAAATGTTATTGAAAATTAGGATTTTTCGCGTGATTTTTAAAGGATATTTATTATAAATTAAGAAAAAGTCTTCCTTCACTCACATACTTTTGTTGAGGAGCATTATCCTTGATCCTTCGTAGGATAACACGAGACCATCACAGGATGCATCAGCTGATTGAGAAATTTGATAACCGTCTCTGTCTTGTATGTAATCATATACCTGATTTATAAAAAGGTAAAAAAATTTTTTTAATATCATTAACCTAAGAAAAGATTAATTTTTATTAAAATTTTCATACAAAAAAATTAAATTCTATATAAAAAAACTCGTTGATAGGTTACATTTTTCCTTTATTAATAATTTTCTAAATTAATAAAAAAAAGAAAATTAAATGATTAAAATGTGGTAATTTCAGAAGTAATTTTCCTTATTATAAGATTTTTATTTTGGAAATTATCTTAATTTTTTAAAAGTTTATCCCTTAAACAATTGGTTATCATGCGTTTATCTGATAGAATCATCTGATACGATGTTCTTAAATTAAAATAAAAATTAAATTATTCAAATATGTTGCATAAAATTTAGTGTTTTAAGTAGATTTTTTAATACTTTTTAGAATTTTAAACAGACTTTTATTAGTTTTAGACAGGAAATTATATTTTTTACAAGTTTTCATAGTAAAATAAGCATTCATTCTATATACAAATGACTCATGATTTAAAGTATTTTTCGCGAAAATCATTGAAAAATGCAAGAAAAAGTATATTAAATAAGATTTTAAATGGTTTTTCTAATTGTTTTTTTATTATTTTAAAGAGATTTTTATTATTTTTAAGCAGAAAATTATATTTTTTTACATATTTCCCTGGTGAACTTAAGTTCTTTACACATAGAAATGGCTCATAATTTAAAGGATAAGTGGGAAAATTCATGAAAATATATAAAAATTGTATTTTAATCTCAATTTTATTTACGAAGATTATCAAAATTAACACAATTAATTAATGCTAATTCAATGAATACATATTAAAAAATTAACAGGAAATCCATGATTTTTGGTTAATTTCATGGCATAAAATGATAAATATTGCATAAAAACCAAAGAAAATTAATAAATTATTAATCTTTTCTAATTCTTGCATACAATTAATGTAAATAAATATATATTCTGTATATTAAAATGGATGTTAGTATGACCGTTTGAATGGCGACGCGACGCGACTTAAGGCTCATTAATTAGGTTAAGAGAAATTTAACATCATAAATATAAGCGTTATATAAATATTAATAAATAATGGAAAGTTACTGCATATTTTCAAGAATAATTTGAAAAATTTTAGAAATAATTTTAAATACAAAATATCAGAGCGAACTATAAGTAACACGCGGCAATGCAAAGCGCCGGCGCCCACACCTGCGCCGCGACAAAATAATCAATGCAGATAAACAGACATAAAATATAAATAAATTATTAAGTTTCTTATTTGTTAATAAGAGTAATTTAAAATTTCAAAGTTCTCCATAATTTTTGCTTATAAAATTATAAAATTTTAGTTTTAAAGTATTTTTAAACTTATTTGTACGCCAATTCATCCAAATAATCCTCTATTAATTAGGGAAAAACATCTAAAAATCCGTAAAGATTAATTAAAAGTAAAATTTTACATATTTTATCTTTTAATAATATTAGAAAACTCTAAAAAGTCCCTAAAATATTAATAAATCCCTTTCCAAACTTTCAAAATATTTATCAGGGATTTATTAATATTTTTCATTTATTTTTCTATTCTAAATTTTAAAAAATAGTAAATTAAAACTGAACAGTATTAAATTCTTTTTATTTTTAATAGAAAATTTATTAGAAATTATTTTAAAATATCTTTAATAAGAATTTTTGTAGTGTTTTCATTACATATTTGCATGTTTCCTTTTAAAACTAGGAGAGTTTTTAAAATATATGTTCCTAATTTTATTAAAACTTTTAGTTAGGAAAATTACATTAAAATATTTCATTCTTTCGGGGAATTTCCCTGAATCCTTCATTTTGTAAATTTTTTCAATTTTTTATTTTATTAGAAAAATGTCTCTAAATATTTAATTTTAATAGAAAAAAAAGTTCACGAATTTTAATTTTATTACTTAAATATATCATTTTATTCAGAAATTTCTTTAAAAATGCTTTATTTTTCGGGAAATTTCCCTGAAATATTTTACGTATATTTCTTTAAACTTTTCACTTCATTACAGAATTTGCCTGTTGAATTTTATTAAAGAGAAATCCCTATTGATGTTTATTTATGAAAAAAGTTTCGTAAATGTTTTGTTTTAGTAGGAAAATTTTCTTTGAAATTTTTCTGTTAGGGATTTTTCTTTAATTCCTTCATTTGAATAAAACAAATTTAAATATAATCCTAAAAAATCATTAGTAATTTAATTTTTAAACATTTCAAATTATTTCAATGATATATACTTCATTAAAAAATTGCGTGTCAAATTGCATTTTTTATTAGGGTAAAAGCCCTTAAAATGTTTATTTATTAAAAAAAATTTCCTTTAACCCTTTTAAAAATATCCCTAACATTTTTTAATGTTAGGGATATTTTTAAACCCTCCATCTGAATAATAAAGTTTTTCTTATACAGAAATATTCAAAATTAATTCTTTTTATTGTAGAAATTTCAAGTTTTTCTCTTCTTTTTCTAATCTGTTCCTTCCAAAAGATTAATTTAAAATTAGTTTTTCTTTTTATTTTTTAAAATTATTTAAAATTTTATTTTAAAAAATTATTTTTACAATTACAAAGAATACGAATTCGATTTAATAAAAAATTTTCTCATTAATTTTTATCAATAATTCATAAATGTCGCTTGTATTTTGAAAAGGAAAAAATTGATTATTTTAGTTTAAAATTCTTTCGAATTTCACGATAATTTTAATATAATTTATAAGTTTTATTGGTTAAAAATACCTACAAAACATCGATAAGTATCCTCATCTCCATGAACGTTGACAATTCTCTGCTTTGTCATTTTCCCTACCAAATAATGTACTGAACCTTCCTTCCAGATTGCTAAACATTTTAGTTCCTCCACTAAAAAAAATTAAATATAATTAAAAATTTAAATATTAGAATCCTGAATTTATGACTAAAATAATTTTTAAGCTTTTATTATTTATTTAAATAAGTTTTAAAAAGTTAAAATTTCCAAACATTTTAATATTATTTTTCTATCTTAAAAACTACTTTAAGTTTCCATTTTCCCTTGTACTTTAGGGAATTAACATTCGAGAAAATTCCCTAAAATTTTTCTAAAATTAAATTCAAAACTATCAATAATAATATGAAAGAGTTTTTCCCTAATTATTAAAGAGATGCTTCGTTTTTTTCCCTAAATTTTCCCTTTCACCATTATTGAGGGAAAATTCTCTACAATAAAAGGGATTTTTCTGAAAGGCAATAACTTAATTATTTGAAAATTTTTATTAATATATGCATGGATTTTTTTAAAAATAGGAATTTTTGTAAATATATATCCATTAATTTTTTAACATAAAAAATATACGAACCAATGTTCTGATGAAGAATACTCTAAATTCTAAGTACTTTTCTTCCTTAAATCTTCAAATTTAGTTTAAATATAATCTATAATTCTATAAAAGTACGCTATTGAAATATATTCTGCTTAAATTACGATAACAAATTGTCAAAGAAGATCAGCAAGAACATCCCTTCCACGGGAATCACTGGAAAGGATTATTCCATCAACAATTATTCTTTCCTTTTTCTAATCTTTTTAAAGTAGCTTATTGCGATGGAATTGTTATTATCTACACCCAAGAAAAATAAAATAAAACATGGGAAGAAATTCTCACCACTGCTTTCAGTTCCAGGGACTTCAGCGCAAGCTTGAAACCTGAAGAGAAGATGAGAATCATCTGTACAAGCATCGACCGTAGAAAGTGGATATTTGCATTCTCCCTGACCTCTACTGTAAGTGAAAGTGAATGGCCCTCTAAAAGGGCATTCCACTGAAGGAGCCTCCACTGTAATACATGCAAATTTTATCATTTTCTCCATACAGCATCAATTGTTTAAGAACAGAAGGGATAGGAATCGATTACGTTACTTATATCTAAGAAATCTTTAATTGTAGCAAATGTATGATGTTAAAGCTTCTAAAAGAACAATGATGATTATAATTACAAGATTGCAAACATTCTAAAAACCTAAAAGGAAATCAATTATTATATTTATATTAGTAAAATTAAATATTATAATGTATTGGTAATCAGAGTCTTATAGTATCCATCATATATAATTAACTGTATAAATTTTTCATATGTATGCAATAAATGCACAGATGTATAAATACTTTAAAAATCTATACTTATAGCAATCGTGCACAGTTTGCATAACTTAAAAAGCTGCCTTTGTAACAACTATACAGTCTCTAGAACCTAGAAACTACCTTCGTAGGAAGTGCACAGTCTGCATCATCTGAAAATCTACCTTTGTAACAACTATACAGTTTGCATCATTCGGATGATAAAACAATCAGAAACATCTAAAAATTCTAAATATTTTACAATCTTAAAACAATGGTAAAGATCTATAAATATTTATTAAATTATAAAGTAAACAGACAATATCAAATTTTGTAAACACGTAAAATATTTATAAAAAATAATATTTTAAAATAATTCATAAAAATATGCCCATAAGAATAATTTAATTAAATATTAATAAAACTATAATTAAAATTTCCATAATTAGCTTCTGTAAAATATCATTAAGTAACTAATTGATTTATAAAAAAATTCAATTTAAAACATTACATAAAGTAATATTTGTGCTTTTTGTCTATGGCATTACTTCTCAACCGGTGGTTCACGAATCTACAGAAACCTTATACACAGAAGAGTCGGGGTTCGCGAGTGAAAAAGGTTGAGACGTTCTACTCTGTGGTATCCTGTTAATTTATTTTAAAGTTATTATTAATCACTTATTTTTTAATTTCTGTGGTACTTAGATGTGATTTTAATGGTATTTTATTTTAAACATCCCTCAAAAAATACGTTTATATGGCTTAAATTACATAAAATAGACCATAAAAAATGGTAAATCATTATAATAATATTACATTTAATATTATTATAATGAAAATTCTTTACAAAATAACATTAAAATTGAATGAAATACCATAAATTAATGTTATTTTATAGAAGATTTAATTACAAAATTATTCTAATTAAATATACTTCACATTATTTTATAAAAATGTCATTAAAATAACATAATTTGAAAAATTACATGAAACACCATTAATAAAAATACCTTTATAAAATAAATTCCATAAAAATAATTAAAATTAAGTAAATGTATTTAATGAAATTGCAATAGTAATTAAAAATAAACATGCACTTTTTATAATTAAAATTCAGAATGTAAATAAAAATAATTAATATGAATTTTCAATGATTTCTGTAATTTTCTCTAATTTAAAATTCTTTTTTTTTTTCTTTCCTAATTTTTCTTTACTTTAATTTTTGAGAATATTTATCAAATAAATTCGCTAATTTTTCTTTAATTTTTCCCCCCTCTAATTTCTCTATTTTTATTTATTTGTTTTTTTTACTATTTTTGTATATTTTCTGCGTTTTTTTCTCTTTATTTTCTAATATTCTTTCATTTTTATATTTTATCATTATTTTTTCAACGTATTTCTCAAATTTTTGCATTTTTCAAATAGTTTTGCTAATTTTCTCCAATTTTTTCGCTTTAATTCCTTTATTCTCTAATTATTTTTTCCATTTTTCCTGCATTTTTCACTATATTTTATTCATTTTTTCTTCCCTATTATTTTGTTTTATAATTATTTTTTCTTCATTTTCTTCTACTTTTTTCCTCTATTTTTTATCCCTATTTTCTAATAAACTCTCTGTAATATTCTGTCATTTTGTTTTATAATTTTTAGGATATTATTCAAATAATTTCTAAATTTTTGTCTAATTTCTCTATTTTTTCTATTCTCTAATTTTTTATAATATTTTTTGCACTTTCTTTCTATTCACTCTATTTTCTTTTTATTCTTTAATTATATTTTTTCTTCACTTTTTTCTTTTTTCCTATATCTTTTTCTAATAAACACATTCTCTAATATTCTGTCGTTATTATTATTTTTTTAATTTTCACAATATTTTTCAAGTAATTCTAAAAATTATATGATTTAATATTAATTTTTACGGTACCATCTACGAG